CACATCTGATGTGCCCCCCCCCCCCACCCGGCTCAAATCCCTCTGATGTTAGAATAAAATACAGGCGCTGAGATCTGAGCTGATCTTGAAAAACCTGAGTTCATCGGGCAGAGGAGGGGGAGGGCATGCGTGAAGGGGTGGGAGTGTGGGAGCTCACGACACCTTCAGGTGTCCCTGTCAGGGAACCAGCGCTCTGTGCAAACACCTCAGGCACTGCCTCTCCTATTACTGAAACATTAGGGTCTCTAAACAACCCTGCAAGGTAAGTACAGCAAGCAGCGTTCCCACTAGTTTACGAGCATGGAAACTAGTTGGGGGGTGGCAACAGTGGGTGGTTAAGAGCACAAGCCTTGTAGGCCAGACCCCCTTGGGCTGTAAACCTGCTGCTGCCTCTAGCCAGCTGGGTAACACTGCCTCTGATCTGATCTCCTTGCCTAGTTAATAGGATAATTCATCTCCACCTCTTATGAGGTCATTCATATGAAATGCTTAGTTCAGGAATTTGGGCACTGTGCAGATGCTCCATAAACATTGGCTGCTGGGAGTGTAAAGGGTTCTGAGGAAGGGAGGGAACTGACTCTTCCAGGAGCTTCCACAATTACAGGATATGAGCACCAGTCGTTCACACGTGACTAGAGCTTATTATGTGCCGTCACAATTATAAGTGCTTTACTTAGGTATGAATTCCGTTGATCCTCTTAACATCCTGTGAGGTAAGTAGTATTATTCTTTCCATTTTACAGATACAGAAACTGAGATACTGAGGCTGGAGAAACTTGCTTAAGGCACCAGAGCTCGTGAGTGATGGAGCTGGGATTTGACCCAGATAAGCTGCTTCCGGAGATGATGCTTGTAACTACTTATTTTAGCCTGTTGTAGTTTCATCTCTCAAGAAACATTGAGTCAGTTGGATTTTTTTTTTTTTTCTGTAGGGCTTATGTGCTTTCCAGAGAGACAGAGAGAAACAGAAAAAGTGAGGAATTACCCTCCAGAGGGAATGGCCATACCACAATCCTTTCTCCTCCATTTTCTTCTTGAGATTTTGGGCATGTACTCACATGTGCCCGGTGTGTTTTTTAAGCTACTAGGTCTGGGATTTGAACCACAGTCAGCCGTGTGGGAATTCAGCACTTTAACCACCATACCACCTGCTGGCCCCAGTCAGTTTGATTGTTATTTCTCACTGGTGCTTGAAGTTGATACTTGGTCCCATTTTCTAGCACAAAACAATGAAGCCAAGCCAGGAGCACAGAGGAGGAGAGCTAGGCTCCTGAAGCCACCACCCCCATTTCAGATTCACCTCTGGCCACAGGACTCCATGGGTAATTTTGAACTCAACGTGATGAAAGATCAGGAACCTGTATCCCTTCTCTTTTTCAGAGATTTGTCACAAAAAGAGGGGAAGGGGGAGGTATCCAGACTGAAAATAATTCAGGGGACTAAGTGGAAGGGTTTCACCCCAAAGGAAGACATGGGTTGCAAGCCAGGAGTAGGATGGCCAAAGGAGTTGAAAAGAGCACTGAAAAGGCAGCCGGCTTGAGACTTCTGGCTTTTATCTAGGCTGTAGAAAGTTGGGAAGAGCATCATTACCATAATAATAATTTCACAAAATATGGGGGTCATCTACAAAATCATAACTTTTGTGAACCCCATCAAGAGATGAAGTTGCAGAGCAGCTAATTAACCTGAATTCCACAAAAGAACTGGAGTCTCTTAAGAAGACATGGAATGGGGACCAGCAGTTAGCATAATGGCTATGTCGCTGGACTCCCATGTAGGCAACCACAGTTCGAGTCCTGGACCCAGTGGCTTAAACTCACATCGGGCACATGTGCGTGCGTGCCCAAGATCCCAAGAGGAAAATGGAGAAGGGATTGCGACATGGCCATCCCCCCTAGGAGGTGATTTCTTGCTTTCTGTCTCTCTGTCTCTCTCTGTCTTTCTGGCAAGTGCCCGCACTCTACAGCAAAAACCTCTCCAATTAAAAAAAAAGAAGAAGAAGACATGGAATGCAAGCACTAGCTCACTTGTGAAGCAGGAGCAAGATGAGGTCTACATTGCAAGTAAGGAGAGTTGAGCTGGGCGCCAGCAGGTGGCGTGGTGGTTAAGGGTGCTGGACTCCCACCCACATGGCTGATTGCAGTTTGAGTCCCAAACCTGGTGACTTGCTTTCTCATTTTCTCTCTCTCTCTCTCTTGCTCTCACTCTGTTCCTCTCTGGTCAAATTTTAAAAATAAATAATTAAATAAAGTTAAATTAAATAATTAAAAAAAAGAGTTGAGCTAAAATTTTCCTTGAAGGCTCATTGTGGCTAGCAGTAGAGTATAGAATTCACAGAGCCACAGGCATTCAACTAATCAATAATAATACCTGAGCCAACTTCAACTTCTGACAAGATTAACTCAACCCCCCCCCCACAGTGATGGCATAATAGAAGAGGAGACATGACAATTTCCAGGTGTAAATAATTTTCAAATCACTCCCTACTGTATACAGAAATCCATAAAAAAAAAAAAAAGCGCCCTATAGCAAAAAAAAAAAAAAAAAAAAAAAAAATATCCCAAAACTCTACTGTCAAGAGACGATGCAATCAGCAAGACCAGGTGCAAGACCTTGATAGAAAATTTAAGACAACTTAAATTATGTGAAAGGTCCTCATGAAAAATGTAGACAACGAATGAACAGAAGATGGTTTTTGGTTCTTTTTTTTTTTCTTTTTTGTAGAGGTTTTTGCCTTAGGGTGTGTAGGTTTGCCAGAGAGAGACAGTGAGTGGGAAAGTGAAAAATTCCTCCCCGGGGGGGATGGCCACTGGGCAATCCCTTCTCCTCTATTCTCCTCCCAGGATCTTGGGCAGGCATGCATACACATCCAGCATGAGTTTCAAGACACCAGGTTCAGGACTTGAAATGCGGCTGGTCCTGTGGGAGTCCAGCAGTGTAACCACTATGTCATCTACTGGCCCCAGAATGTGATTTTTAACAGAGAAATGGAGACTATTAAAAAGAGTCATAGGCAAGTGCTAAAAATGAAAAGGAAAAGACATACACACGCCTATAACAGAGGAATGCCTTTGACAGGCTTATCGGAAAGCTCAGCACAGCTGAGGAAACGATCAGTGAACCTGAAGATGGGTCAGCAGAGACTACTCAAGCTGAAACAGAAAGAAAAAGGAGTAAAAGAACGGAACAAAACATCTACGAGCTAACATATGAGTAATTCATAGTGCAGAAAAAGAGACAGATGGAAAAAATATACATCTATATATTTAGAAAGAGAGCACCAAGAAACTGACACGATCTGAAAAAGGTTAAATACCAATATGTAAACACACGCTACAAACACACACTGATATGCCATTTTCAAACTGTTGAAAACCGCAGATAAGAGCAAATGTTGAAGGCATCTAGAGAAAAGCAATAATGCACTGCCTACAGAGGAACAAAGATAAGAATTATAGCAGCTTTTTCATCACAAATTATGTGATCAGTGACATCCTTTTTTCTTTTTTTAAAGAGGTTTTTGCTATAGGGCATGTGTGCTCGCCAGAAAGAGAGAAAGAAAGCAAGAAATCACCCCCCAGGGGGGATGGCCACACCACAATCCCTTCTCCTCCATTCTCCTCTCAGGATTTTGGGCACACACACACATGCACCCAGTGTGAGTTTAAGCCACTGGACCCGGGACTCGAACTGCGGTCGACTACATGGGAGTCCAGTGACATAGCCATTACGCCAACTGCTGGTCCCTCATAGTGACATCTTTAAAATACTGAAAGAAAATAATTGTCAATCTGGAAGCCTATACCTAGCAAAATATCTTAAATATGAAGGAGATACAAATAGTTTTTCAGATAAACAACTGAAAACAACTCATTCCCAGTAGACAAACAGCATAAGAAATGGTACAGAAGTTCCGTAAGCAAAGGGAGTATGATATCATAGAGAAGCTTGGATCTACATTTAAAAATGAAGCTCTCTAGAAACAGATGGAATAAAGATGAATAGAAGAACTTTTTTGTTTTGTTGAGAGGTTATTTTTGTTTGTTTTCTGTTTGTTTTTTGCTATAGGGCACATGCGCTTGCTGGAGAGACAGAAAGTGACAAATCATCCCCTAGGGGGATAGCCACAGTGCAATTCATTCTCTTCCATTCTCCTCTTGGGATTTCGGGCATGCACACACATGCACCCAGCCTGAGTTTCAAGCTGCCAGGTCCGGGACTTGACCCATGGTCGATTGCATGGGAGTCTAGCAATGTAATCATTTTGCCATCTGCTGATCCCAGAAGGTTCTTTCACTCACCTTAAAAGGCAATTGCTTGTCTAAAGCAAAAGAGCAGCAATGTATCATGGGTTTATGGCATAGATAAAAGTAAAATGTATGGCATTAACAATAGTAAAAATGGTAACCAGCAGTTGGCACAATGGCTATGTTGCTGAACTCTCATGTAGTCGAACGCGGTTCAAGTCCCAGACCCAGTGGCTTAAACTCATGCCAGGCACACATGCATGTGTGCCCAAGATCCCAAGAGGAGAATGGAGGAGAAGGGATTGCGGCATGGCCATCCCCCCTGGGGGGTGATTTCTTGCTTTCTGTCTCTGTCTCTGTCTTTCTAGCGAGCGCACGTGCCCTATAGTCAAAAAAAAAAAAAAAAAAGTAAAAATGATGGGATGGAAGAATTGAAAATATGCTGTTAAAGGGTCCTAATGCTATATAAGAAGTGGCACAATATTATTTGAAGGTAATTAAAAATGTATATCATAAATTCAAGGACAACCCCTAATTTTTTTCTTTTCTTTTTTGCCTGAGGATACATGTCCTTGCCAGAGAGAGATATAAAAAGAGAAAGGAGACAAGTATGCTGAGCCTGAGTTCCTCACCTACAACGCAGACTCGGTGTGTGCCTGCTTCTGGGCCCATGTGTCACCTGCTGAGCACAGGGCTGAGGACCCAACACGACTGCAGACGCTCACGGTGTATGCTGCGCTACGAGTGATCATCTGTCTCAGTATGATGCAATAAATGTCATTGTCTACTTCCAGCACCCATGAGACTATAAATTTTACCTGACAAAACATCAACCCAAAGTAAGGAAAGAAAAAAAAGCACAGATGTGAAAATAGAAAATAAACAAGATGGAAGCTTTTATTTTCAATAAAAAGACAACCAATTAAAAGGCAGAAAATAGGGGGGCGGCAGGTGGCAGGGTGGTTAAAGGTGCTGAATTCCCACATGGCCGACTGTGGTTTGGATCCGGACCTGGCAGCTTGCTTTTTCGCTTTCCCTTTCTCTCTCTCTCTCTGTCTTTCTCTGGTCAAATTAAAAAATAACAATAACAAGTAGAATTAAATAAATAAATAATTATTTTAAAAAGAAAATAGTAGATTAGGAGAAAAGCAAGTGACAACAATATGCTGTCTACAAGATTCACTTTAAATATAAAGAAATAAATGAGTTAAAAGTAAATGGATGGAATAAGATCTACTATACAAACATAAATAAAGCAAGTTGAAGTGGTAATATTTTTTTTTTTTGAGAGGTTTTCGCTATAGGGCACGTGCGCTCGCCAGACAGACAGAGAGAGACATAGAGACAGAAAGCGAGAAATCACCCCCCAGGGGGGATGGTCACGCCGCAATCCCTTCTCCTCCATTTCTCCTCTTGGAATCTTAGGCACGCACGCACACGCGCCTGGTGTGAGTTTCAAGTCACGGGGTCCAGGACGCGAACCGCGGTCGACTACGTGGGAGTCCAGCAACATAGCCATTACGCTAACTGCTGGTTCCCTGAAGTGGTAATATTAATAGTGGTCAAAGTAGACTTCAGAGAAAGGACTACAGCAGTAAAACGGGAGGCTGACCTACATGGGAAGTTCTGGTTTCACATCCAGGGACCTCCCTGAGTGGCCTGGGCACACACTTGCAAGTCTATAATCCAGTGCTGGCTGAGGCTGGGGGTGGACCACAGTATCAGTACCTTGTTGGGCATACTATTTCTCTGTACTTGTCTCTCTTGCTCATGGAAGAAATAATAAATACACTTTTAAAAATCTGCATTTAAGAAAATGATTTACCGGGGACGAAGAGGGACATTAACCTCCTCAGCAGCTTTCTCCAACTCAGCCTGAGACATGCTGGTGGAGTTGCAAGGGCTCCTGGAAGCCTGCGGAGGAGGTGAGGAGCTCGAGCTACTGCCTTAAGACTGACCAGGGATGCTGGACCTCAAAGGCAAGGCCAAGTGGGATGCCTGGAATGAGCTGAAAGGGACTTCCAAGAAGATGCCATGAAAGCTTACGTCGACAAAGAAGAGCTCAAGGAAAAATATGGAATATGAGAGACTGGATTTGGCTGCCAGCCACACATTGAACCTAAACTGATGTATAATGCCTTGTTTTTCTAATACTGTGGATGATGTACAATAGTGAAAATAACCAACTAACCCCTTTCCTCAGGGCTGTTCGGGTTCTGGGTCTCACAGATTAGGGGCTGAGACAATTACTGGCTTTCCCTGAGTAGTTTTTACCAGAGATCAATTAAAATTACATTTGTTACTTTAAAAAAAAAAAAGAGGGACATTACATCACATAATGATAAAAGGTTAAGTTCACTGAGAAGACTCAACAATCCAGTGTGTACACACCTAATAAGAGCTTCAAAAATACACAAAGTAAAAGCCAACAGACCCTAAGTAAGAAACAGAAAAAGCTATATTACCTTCAGAGAATTTAGTATTTCTCTCTCAGTAATTAATAAAACAAGTAAATCAAAAAAGGAAGAATATGGAAAACCACAACACTATCACTAACTTGCCCTAATTGACACTTTCATAACACTTTACCCAATAACAGCAGAATAAACATTATTTTCAACTGCATATAAAACACTCAACAAGATAAATCATAGTCTGGGCCATATAAACAAACCTCAACAAATTTATAAGAATTCAAACCATATAAAATATGTTTCATGACCATAACAGAATTAAAATAGCAAAAAAAAAAAAAAAAGAAGCAGAAAGATATCTAAAAAATGAATTACCATATGACCCAGTAATTCCACTCCTTGATATTTGAACAACAGATAGGAAAACATTTGGTCAGAGGATACTTGGCACTGCCATGTTTATTGCAGCATTATTCACAATTGCTAAGACATGAAATTAACCTAACTGCCCAAGAACTGATGACTCGATTGAAAAATTGTGGCACATATACATTATGGAATATTATTCAGCAATAAAGAACAATGAGACCCTGTCATTTGATTCCAGTTGAATGAATATGGAAGATTTAATGCTATGCAAAGTAAGCCAGACTTTGAAAGACAAACACTGTATTTCCCCACTCAATATATATCAGGTGTCTGCACTCTTTGGCAGAAATCGAAAGGTCCAAAGATATGACAGTAGGGAAGATAAGTATAGATACCAGAGACTGTAAGGGAGGGAGTAGATGGTAGAGGGTGGGTAGGAGAGGCAAAGGGAAGAAACATTTAACAGATATAAGAATGTAAAGTTCTCTATTTTTTTAAAAAAGAATTAGTTATTTAATTTTATTTATTCATTCATTTATTTTAATTGGACCAGACACAGAGCAAGAGAGTGGGAAAGTGAGAAAGCAAGCTACCAGGTCTAGGACTCGAACCAAGGTCAGCCATATGGGAGTGTCCAGCGCCTTAACCACCATACCACCTGCTGATTCCAGTTCTCTATTAAAAGTGATGTACATGATAATATCCTCAATTTGATCGTCACATACTGCACGCAATCTTTCAAAAACCATATTGTGCTCTATTGAGAAGTGTGATGAACGAATATAAATAAGAAATCATTTATTAAAATGCCACCTCCCCCAATACTTGGAAGTAAATATAAGCAAAAGATGAAGATGAAGGGAAATTTGAAATAAATAAAGTTGAAATGAAGCACTCAGCCACCAAAACAGTTCCCAACGTTCCGTGCCTTCTGCTATTCATACCCTGTGCAGTCCTCTCCTAGGCTGTATCAAGTCACCACATGTGACCAATAGGACATGGCAGAAATGACAGTATATCATTTCCAAAATTCAGGTTACAAAAAAAAAATAATTTATTCCAAAAATTAAGGTTAAAAAAAAAAAAAAAAAAAAAAAAAAAGGATGGCAACATCTGTCTTGGGTGTGTACTCTCCCTGCTGCTTAAATCCCTGACCCTGGGAGAAGTAAGTTGCCGTGCTGTCCACAGCCCTCTAGAGAGGCTGACCTGGTAAGGAACGGAAGTGTCCAGCCAACACCCAGTGAAGACCAGAGGCCTGCCAGCAACCACACGAATGAGGATGGAAATAGTCACCAGGTCTTGTCGAACCCTGAGATGACTGCAGCTCTGGCAGTAGCTTGACTAAAACCTCCTAAGAGATGCTAAAGCATAATCACTCAGTTAAACTGCTCCTGAATTCCTGATTCTTGAGACAATAAATACTTCTCTGTTTTTTTAAAGAATTATTTTTTATTTAACTTTAATTATTGTTAATATTTTCCAGTTTTAAGTTGCTGGGTCTGGGACTCAAACCATGGTCAACTACGTCAGTTCAGTGACATAACAATTAAATCATCTGCTGGTCCCAATGTATTCCTTTTTTTAAAATTAAAAAAAAATCATTATAGATTCAAAAAAAGTTTCAAGAAATATACATATAGGTCCTGTGTATCCTCGTGTCTCCCCAGGTAACATCTTGCATACCTACAGTGTATTATCGTGTGGCTTCATGTAACCACCAGCCCAATCAAGAGAGAGAATGGTTCTGCCTCCCTCATGCTGTTTAGAGCCATACCCACCCTTTTTCCTCCTACACTCAACCCCTGGCAACCCCATCCCATCTCTGAACTTTTGTCATTTCAGCACTGTTACGTAAATGGAATCATGCAGTATGTAATGTAACCTTTCAAAGTTGGCTTTTCTTGGGACCAGCAGTTAGTATAATGGCTCTGTTGCTGAACTCCCATGTAGTCGACCGCTGTTAGAGTCCTGGACCCGGTGGTTTAAACTCACGCTGGGCATGTGTGCATGTATGTCCAAGATCCAGAGAGGAGAATGAAGAAGAAAGGATTGTGGTGGCCATCCTCCTGAGGGATGATTTCTCACTTTCTGTCTCTCAGTCTCTGTCTGGCGAGCACATGCTCCCTATAGCAAAAATCTCTCAAAAAAAGGGGGTGGGGGAAATACATTGTTGATATATGCAACAATCTGGATCTTGAGAGCATTATGATGAGTGAAAAAAAAAACAATCTCAAAAGGTCAAATACTGCATGATTCCATTTACGTAACAGTCTTGAAATGACACAATTACATAGATAGAGAACAAATTGGTGGGTTCTAGGGATTAAGAGTGGGATGGGGTGGACAGCACAAGGGAGAGCTTTTTGGTGACAGAACACAAACAAGTGCGTGTAAAACTGGCAAAATCGGAATCGGGTCTGTGCATTGCACTAATGTCAATCCCTGGCCTTGATATTGCACTACGGTTTTGTAAGGTGTCACTGTTGGAAGAAAGCATGCTAACACAGTCCCTTGGTTACTGCTATCTGCAGCAGCTAGAATGAAAGTGAGAGTGCTGCCCAGAGTCTCCAGCGGTGCCCGACATGGTTTCTACGACACAGGAAACAGAACAGGCTGAAGGAGACTGCGACTCACTGATGGAGCCTGCAAACGCTTTCTTGTCTGTCTCAATTTTGGAAAAAAGCTGATTGCAGTTTGCTTTCATATGTAGAGGATCCCAGTTTATATTTACTGCTGCCCCAGGGTTATCTGAATTCACCAGCTTAGTCTTGGTTAGAAAGGATTTGATCTTGATGCAGGTCTCAAGTGTAATCATGCATGACACTGACGATATTATGATAATACAGAAAACTGAGGAGCAGGCCAGAACTGAATGCAGTAGTGACACACATGACCCAGCAAAGGTCCAAGGGCCTGCTCAAACTCTGAAATACTGAAGAGTAATGGAGACAGAAGCTACCTGGGATTTTCCACAAGAGACTGAAAGTGAACCTTTGTCACTACCCACACCAAGGACCAACAAAAAGCCCAGCATCTGGATCATTCACTGGATTGGGAGAATGCCCATTCCAC